ACGGATTGTGTGTTAGAAGAGAGCTTACCCTGTGGAGGAAACCTCTAGAAGAATACATAAGTAGAGTAGAGTGTGATGTGTTTTATTAGAAGCTGCCTAGGAAGGAGTAATCAACTGCTTAACTTGGCTCAAGGCTGTGCTTTGCCTTATAGCACACTTTACAGAGGACATACTATTGGAGATGTTTCTTGAAGAATGGAGAGTCACTAGCAAATTATGCAGGAAGGCTATAGATAATGTATAGCATAGAATAACCATGTGTTTTCAGATTGTTGCTATTACTTTTATATGAAATAGATGATGCAAGAGAGAGCAGGATTGTTATTAAAGATTTTTTTTTTGGCCTATGCTAAGGAATTTGAGGTTTTATTTTAAAAAATCACTTTTTATCCCCCAATGTCAATAAGTAAAGCATACATAAACAGAGGTACTCTGGTGTAGGTGGGGTTTTGGAGGCCAAAAGTTTTTGACTCCTTGGTGACCATGACATCCTCCTTAGAAGCACTAGGGCATCTTGCAGATGATTTTGAAACTACAGCTGTAGCTAATGCTGAATTACTTGAACCGAAGTAACATGGTCCTACTTGCACTTTTAAAAGGTCACTGAAATTCACAAAAGGGATGAGATTGATGTGAAGAAACCAGTAGAGGGATAGGTCTAAACTGAGCTGGAGACAGTGAGGAAGGGACAAGTTTGAGTCTTGTTGAGAGGGGAATGGCAAGATTTAGCGGTTAGCTGGAGAGAGTACACTGAAGGAAAGGAGACAGGGGTAATCCCCAGCGTTCTAGTTTGCGTCCTTGCCTTGATAACAGAGTTACTCACTTTAGGGAAATACAGGACAAGAACTGGTTTGAAGACGAGGAAAGAGATTGGGAAGCAAAGATAATTGGTTCAGATGTGTCCAGGTGAAGGTTGAGATATCAGATGTGAGGTGAGATGCTTAAGGAGATAGTCATTGGGGCCAGAGCTCAGTGGAGAGGTCTGCTTGAGGGTAGAAACATAGTTATTGTACTACAGAGGACTTTTGAAGCCATTGGAAGGGTGGATCACCCACAGATAGAGCAACCAGAGGGATGAGAGGAGAATAAAGGTTATTATTTTGTAATAACAGTAGTTGAGGATCCCAGAATGGTTATCACACCCGGGAGACTAAAAAGGACAGGCCAAGCTTTGGGTAGTGCTAGGAGAGAGGCATCCACTGATGGAGGGAGGGCAAGTAAAATCAGGGACTGATTCCAAACACAAAACCCACCCTCAAAGGATAGACTTTCTACCACTGGTGTTACGCAGGAGAATATACTCTGGTTCCATGTTGTATGGATGGAAGCTTTATGGTTATAATGGTTTAACACTGATGTCTTTTTGAAATTTTTAATGTTAACATAATAAACGTTGTTGCCCAGAGTCTTTTTGTTAAGCTAGAACAACCTTGCACAAGGTAGATCAATAGAGTTTAAGATGAGACCAAATAATAATAATCAGAATGGCATATGTACCAGGCAGCTCCTCCTCAGGAGAATGCATGGGAGTGTTCTTTTCTCATGGCCATTTGCAGTTGCATAAGGGACCCACAGTTAGGAGATAACAACATGTATCTGAGCAAAACTTTTAAGACGTACTTAGTCCTATGATCAGTAATTCCATCGATTTCTTGTGAAAAAAATTACTATTGAAATGAAATTTGACCTCCAGAGCATGTTTCTTAAACCTGTGTCATTCCTTCCCTATATTTTTTTAACTTTTTTCCCCCCTGTAACGGGGATCGTGGCACCACTGAGCTAAATCCCGGGCCCCATCTTTCCCTATATTTTGAGGGGAGAAGAGGGAAATTATATTTTGGTAATAGGAGATTGTTTAAAAGTTGTTATTTGTGTAAAGATAGTTCTGTGCTAGTACTGGTGGGGAAAAAAATAGCCTATTAATATTTCTGTAGGTAAAGTCAATCCAACACTGTTGAGTATTCAACACTGTTATGAAGAGAAAAATATCATTGCCAGTTGTCTTGTAAAAAGTATGATCTTTTGACCCTCTGAAATTTCCTTCTTGTGCAGTGACATTTTTTACCATAAATTTTATAAAATATTATAGTTTAGGGTCTGAATGCTGAATCAAAGCTTTTCTTTTCCAGTATTAATAAAATTTGTTTTTGTGATAGAATTTGTTTTTTATCATCCAGATATATTTCTCTGTATTTTTACCACATAGTTATTACATGTGTTTTCTTGTAAACTTGTTTTGTATTCATTCTTGTCTTGAAAATGTGATGGAGATGAATTTTTAAAAATTTTATTTGTAATTAAACTGACTTTGGGTACTGTAATTAAATGAGTTTTAACATATGTTTAAACTTAATATAACAATCACCACAATCAGGATATAGAATAGTTCTGTTAACACCAAAATACTCTCATGCCATCCCTTATCTAACCAAATCCCTAGCAACCAAATGGAGTCATGCACCATTTAACCTTTTTGAATCTGGCTTCTTTCACTGAGCATTAGCCTTTGAGATTCGTCTAAGTGGCTGCATGTATTAGTTACTTGTCACTTTTTCTTGCTGCATAATAGTCCACTGTGCTGATGTACCATAGTGTGTTTATCCATTGACCCTATTATGAATTTATCATTTATGTAACAGTAATTTTTTAAGAATCTTCCGTTGCTCTTTGGTTTTTCAGTATTTGTTTTTCAAGCTCTTTATTCACTGATTTGACAAGCATTTATTAAAAATTTTTAGGCAAACAATAGGAATATAGTGGTGGCCTGAACAGACAGCATCCTCTGCTCTCTGAAGACTTTATTCCTGTAAGTCTTTCCTCCTCAGTCTTGTAGAAGCTGCTCAGAGTCTGTGGAAAACAAGATCCTTGGTTACAATTTAAATGATATGAAAGGCAAGGAAGAGGTAATGGCTTTTAAAAATATTTTAGTGGGGTCAAAAGCAGAATAGTTTATTTTTGCCATGTTTTGGGAACCATCTAGATGTGTACTTTGTCTTCTGTTTTATACATTTTTACATCTTGGTGAAGTGTTGTGTAGCCGTGGACGTAATAATGCACTACATGACATTTTTGAGGCTCCTTCCAACTTCTCGAGAAGTAGAGTGTCGTACACAAGGAGCACTACTGTTATTAGAATACTCATTGATGTCCAGATGTCTCTGAAATTAGACAGGATTAGAAGTCACAAATTGGCTGTTGCCCAAGTCCTCTTCAGCCCATTGGTGTTTCTTGTTTGGCTCATCTCCTATTTTTAAACACTCTCAAGTGAGTTCCCAACATTTACAAAATCAGGAGTCTTTGCATTTTAAAAAATTTAGATTTCTTGTTTATATTGAAAATTCATGGATCTGGCATTGCTGAGCCAGTTTTTCTGAGCTGAGCAGAAGAGTTGGCTGGAGCTGAATAGTGGCTGCCGTTTTAGACAAAGCATGTGCTCTCTTTGGGAAGCCTCTGCTTCACTCATTCATGTTATCTGCCTGGCCCTAGCGAATATCTGTGTTTGCAATCCCTGGATGCTGGGCTTCATGTATAGGAGAAGTTGAGCATTCCTCTCCATGCTGGAGGGCTGAGGATATTCTTGTCTTGGAAACCGACTGAGTGTCCAACTGGGTACATCTCTTACTATAGTATATGTAATACTGGCACTCTTAAGAGGCAGAGATCAGGGTCATTTTCCTGACATGCTATCTTGAATCCTTCACAATGGAGATACTGTTCCCTGCCTTATCTGTGATGTCAGTTAAAGGAATTTTTGACTCTAAGCAACAGAAACAGATTTTGGTGCATTGGAACAAAATGGGACTTTATTAAAAAAGATGTTGGATAACTCAGAAGAAAAAGAGCATGATCTGAACTCAGTTTCTGAAACCTTGGATACTCCAGAAATCAGGGGTGGGAGAGATTAAGGGATTAATAAATTACGTCCAGAATTTTCCTTTCCTTTGTCATTCCTCTTAGGATTCCAAAATCCTGGAAAAGATAATCAAAGTGGCCTAACCCACATCCTGGATAGAAGAGGGCAGCACACTTTGATTGACAGTACCTCTAAGACTATAAGCAATAAGAGAGAAGATTTTCCTAAGAGGGGATCTAGGTGCTATTTTCAGACAAAAGGAAACTGGGTATAGATATAAGCAATAGAAACAACAAATAGCCACTATACTACTTCTCAAGGTGGTCATGAAAGTAGTAAATGGACACTGCAAAATGCTACAGAAGGGTAAAGAAGTGGTATTTCAAATTCCATGAGAACTAGTTACAAATGTGCTTTTTAAGTATGCAGATGTACTGGTATCCATTAGTAAGGAATATATTGAATAACAGAAAGTAACATTTCATTGCTTTCAGCCACTGCCTTGTTTATAAAATCACCCCCAAAGCCATACTAACTTTGAATTAAAATAACACTTCTAAATTCTAAAGATATTTGTTAAGATATAATGTTCTTTTTGATTTTCTCACTCTTGTTTCTTTTTTTTCCCCCCCTTGGAAGATCTTGATTTGCAACAAACAAGGAAAATGAGCACACCCCTATCAGTGATGTGGGTAGAAATTGAAAGTAATGATTCAAATAAGAGAGGCAGCAGAGAAAGCCTCAGCTGGGTGGCAGGAAACAGAACGAAAGTCAGACTGCTCTTTTTTAAAAAGGCAAAACAAACAACTCACAGTGAAGTGTACGTGAAAATCATTTCTAATAATAGCTCGTGGTAGGCAATTCCCAGGAAAAAAATCGTTGGTGTGCTGAGAAAATTAGAGTGAGAATGCAGTGTCTTGATGTGTTACTTAAGGCAATGGAGCTTTAGAGTTTACCTTATGTGCCATGTACATTGATTAAATACAAAATATATGCTGGCCATTTTTGACCATCATTTACCGTATTGATTTGTTAGCAGGGGAACTGTAATAAAAAAGCCATTGATTTACTGTCCTTATTTGCTTATGGGCTTTTTTATTATTAATTTTTCACTTTTTCTTTCTCTTTTTTGGATCATTTCTTCTAGACAAATGCTGTGCTTCAAGAGGTTAAAAGAGAGGGGCTCCCCGTGGAACAAAGGAATGAGATGCTGACTGCCACCCTTGCCTTGCTCACTACCCGCCAGAACCTGAGGAGGGAATGGCAAGCCAGGTTAGTTCTGTAATGAAATGGGATCTCTTGTCCCTGACAAACAAGAGCTATCTTTGGCTAAGCCCTCCCTTATTGCTGGTCTTGTCCCTCTCATTTAAGAGGCCATGAAAAATCAGCAAGTTTAAGATGTTTTCAGCTAGTAAGCTTTCCTCTCCACGGTAACCTACATTAATTACAGTGCTCTATGACAGTGTATGTATATATGCGTTTTTTCCTGAGTGTAACAGTTTGTATACATGTCTCCATCTTGAACATAATGTAATTTAAGTACCTGATTCTAAAGAGCCCCTTTAATTCAGCAGTCTAGGACTCTAGCACTGCCACTTAAAGCAGATGTCTGGGAAATCCACATGGTGCCCTTCTGTCCCTCCATTCAGAGAAGATTATTTGAAAGTCTATTTATCAACCCCAGTATTAGAATTGACCAAGTGGGAATGATTTTTGCTTCAATCTAGTTTCTTTCCACATGGACTTACCTGTGGTTAGAAAGCTGTTACTGGCGGAAAGTTTCAGTAAATCATCAGCTTTTATAGAAATAGTGTGTGCATAATAAATATGTTATCCTGCTCCTTCTTGAAAAACAGTTGATATGTGGAAAATTGAAACTAGTTCCTCTAATGTTAGAGTTATGCTTCACATCTGTGGTTTGTAAAAATTAATTAAATAATAATTCAGTATCATCTGTCTCTGAGCAAAAGGGAGAGGAATCAGGTCAATTATACTGTATTTTGTCTTAGAGTCTTATTTGATGGGGAGGAACTCTATGTGCCCAGGAGTTGGAAACATTTATTGATAGCTGCAATATTACTCAAGTGACTTTGTACAACAGAATTTACAGTCATTGATAGCTTTGCTAGTAATAATTATAATAAAAATAGATTTGTTTGGACAAGGCTGAACAGATGAACATTTTTCAAGAATGGAGACATATGAACTATTGATTTTGATTGGATATCAGCTGCTTTTTCAAATGTCTATTTTATCTCTAAATTTAGGCTTGCACATAAGACATTAAGAAATTCACAGTGATATTTTCCAGCTTTTTTTAGTGTGGTCATAGTAAATGGCACACATTTTCAACCACAGTAAGGATTGAATAATTTCCAATTTAACTTTTAATAATTAATTTTAAATTTTTTTCTAGTATAATTTCAATGTCATTTTCATTAAAGTTTCCATATTTTATTAAATAATGCAATATCAGTGTGGGGACATTGAAGAGCTTTCTGTCTGTGTGTTTTCTGTCTTCCAGTGGTGATTCTTATTAAATAGGAAAGAGAGGTAGAAAGAATTTCCTTGTAATCTCTCTTTCATACCCCTTCCCTCCAAAGACAGCAGGGCCCAGAGAGAGAGCATACTTTGAGATTGGACGTCTTTTGTTGAGTGCATTGAGTTTGTTAACAATAATTTCCTAATACAGCAAATCATCAGACAACATGACCAAAATGGCCTGTTTAAAAGGAGTCTGGTTTCAGCATTTCTGGCCCTGACTGCTAACAATTTAATCAGGAGCTGGAGCCAGTGTTGAAGTTGATGTAGTCTAGCATCTGAAACAAAAATTCTCAAGTTCTTTGTGGCAGGGAAGGAAGAAAGAAAACACTTAGCTGGTGATACTCTGCAGACTCCCTTAAAACCAAACACCTGAAAGAAAATTTCAGGAGGGAGAAGGCTTGAGGGTGAAGAAAGCAAAGTATCCTCAGAGTATTAAATAACCATAATCCTTCCTCCCATTTGATGTTTCTCATCTTGGTGCCCTATCTAAAAGACTCATGCATATGATCCACATAAACAGACAGTCACCATATACCTCTCTTTTCCTCATCAAAGTGTCATCTGGATGTCTGGAATCAGGCATTGCTAGAGTAGCCATCCAGCCTATGGTGGTGAAAGTTATAAAACATCCACAGCAGCGCTCACTGAGCTGGCTGTGTTGTAGCGATTGGCCTATTGTGTACTTTGGAATTACATGAGGAAAAATGTGCTTTGACAGAAAATAATTAGCACTCACCAAAGGCCAAGCAATAGGTTAGAGCATTTTACTTTCATCAAAGCTATCAGGGGATCAGTTAGATTAGATAACAGAAATTTTTTCCTCTGAAAGTTACATACAGATGACTCTAATTAACTTATATTACACGTTAGAGAATGCATTATGAACTGTACAACTTCAAGAAATTTAGGTCAGCCGAGACTCTGCAGCTGGCAATAACTTTAGCTTATGTCTACTGTAATAAACTGTCTCTTCAGCAGGTTCATTTGCAGTCATGGTATCAGGGAGAATATTTTCAGTGAAACTTGTAACTTGCTCCTAAAACATTGGTTTCTCTCTGAGGCCGGCAACTGAGCCATTGTTTGGTACTCTCTACAGTCTCTTTAAACTGAAAGCATATGTTCCCTGTAATTTAGTGTCTTGAGAAAAGTGTCAATTCTGCATGACTCAGGGTAACTGAGTTTGTCACAGTGTCACACAACCCTGCGATTCTAGAGGCACATCTGAGTGCTGTGGGTTTCCTTCCCCAAACTGAATAATCCCATAAACAGCCCTCTCCAAATAGGCTTATTAGGGCTGTCTATTCACTTCCCCAGAGTTGAATGATCCAAAGTACATCAGGAGCCGCTATGTGAATGCAGGGTAAGTGTTAACAGAAGTGGTACAGAATTTCTGAAGATTTGGCTTTGTTTATACAGTCCACTCTGCCTGATGGACAGCTTGTTATAGCTTTTAAAGAACTGGGCAAGCCCTCTGATCTGACCCCTTCTTGACCTCCACAGCCCAAAGGTCAGCCTGCAGCTAATAAACTCAGAGGTTCTTAGGGTCTACTGTAGGAAAAGGCAGAAAAAGAGCAGCTGCAAGGACTAGGTATCCCAGGATCTGCTGCTTTGGGGTCACTTTCTGATAATGAAAATGATTACCAAATTATATGGAAGTTTAACTGCAATAGTGAGTGAGAGGAGGGTGGAGCCCAGTGTATTAAGTTTGATAAATGAACTGTGAAGAGGCCCATCTGGCTCTCAACATCTCTTCTCCTCCTCTTTCCCTACCAAGGGGAAACATTTTAAAATAACAGCAGTACATATAGACTCAATGACCCATGCAAGGAGCTGGAATGGATTAAGATTTAATGGTGACAGTGGAAGAAATTATCATTTGAAAAGTGCACCAAAGAAAAGGTACAGTTCAATGTCCATGCCTGAGTTGTTTTTCTCTATAAAATATAAAAACCAGTGCCTTTGTTTATTTTATACACATCCTCAGTGTCTTACATAGATTGCTGAAAATTTTGAGGTCATTGTTTATCATGGGATAATTATTTGTGGGTCATCTTCAGGGAGGGAATATGCCTCCTTTGCTTTGAACATGTCAGAATGATAATCCAACATTTTATTTCTGCCTGCTTGCTCAGTTTCAATGATGTAGGTTAATCAAGTGTTAGAGAAAATGCTTTATAAAAAAATTGTGTCTATTTCAGCATCTGACTGTTACACATTTTTTCGATACTGGATCTACAATGACTCATGAACGGTTTTATTTCTACTATGACTTGGCACGGTTTTCTTCTGTTAAAAACTAGAAGAAAGCACATTATGTTAATTGAGCAGATTATGTTTGTTCCTTTCTTTATTTTGCTTTCAAAGAAACATCATAGTAATGGTAATTAGTGCTAACAATAGCTAGGTCACTAAAAGCTATATGTCTATTTATTGTCAATGGATAAGTGTAAGCTACTTAAAGCTTTCCCCCAGTTTCCCATGAACACGGAGTATCCTGGTTTCAGACCAGTGATGTTGGAGTCCAGAAGCTCAGTGCTTTTCTGCAGTGATGATTAGCACATGCCATGACTCTACTTTCTGAAACAAGAATGGTCTCATTCAGTAAACATCTTTTGCATATTTTGTATTCTTATTGTGAACAAAATACTGTGTGAGATGCTGTTTATATTATAAATTGTTTTAAGCAGCCAGTTTTAAGGGTTTATCTGGTGGTAAAAATGTTGGAAGTTCCTAGAAAGAGGAAGGAGAAGATATTGGAGAGGAAAGAGGTAGAGCCATCATTACCCCCAGAGTGGGGAGTTGCTCTGACCCATCCAGGAAAGTATTTAATTGTGGACGTCTTAGTAGTCTAGATTGTTATGCTATTGAAAACCTCCTATACTGGACTACATTGTCTGCATAATACAAGCCTCACTCAGATTGTAATTGTATTAAAAATAGAAGTGCAAACCTTGTAAACATTACCCAAAGTTAGCATATTTTTTTAGCTTAGGTTTTGACTTGCCTACTTATATGTGTGTGAGAAATAATGCAGAGAGATGAGGAACACTTGCAGAATAACTGTGCTTTTTAACTTTAAAGTGGAGTCTCTAAATTTTTACTATGCCATGTGCAAATAAGACAAAAGTAAGCCCATTAGAAGTTTGAAAAAAAATGAAATACAGCTAAACACAAAATTTCATGTAACATAAAATCCATCATTGTAAAGTATACAATAAGTAATTGTATAACCATCACCGCCTTCTGGATGCAGAGCATTTCCATTGCCCCAAAATGAGACCCTGAATCTGTCAATAGCCTCTCTCAATTGTCCCCTCTCCCACAGTCCCTGGCAACCACTAACTTATTTTCTATCTCTATAGATCTGCCTATTCTAGACATTTTTAGTAAATGGAATCATACACTATATGGCCTTTTGTATGTGGCTTCTTCCACTTAGCATAATGATTTCAGGGTTCATTCGTGTTATAGTATGTAAGTACTTAATTTCTTCTTACTGCTAAATAATATTCCAGTCTGTGGATGAAATTTTTATTCAGTCATCAGTTGATGGACCCTTGAGTTGCTTCCACTTTTTAACTCTTATGAATAATGCTCCTATAAATATTGGTGTACAGTGTCTTAAGAAAGCTTTTGAAACCACTTCAATGAAACGTGACTCTCCTAAAACTTAGCTTTATTGACACATCTTCTTTATATTAGGCTTGTGCTGTTTTTAAAAATGCCTG